ATTCGCAAAGTATCTTCTTGTTTCGTTTATATTTTTGCTCTTGAGCGTCATGGAATGAAATGCAGCATGATTTATGGTATAAGGCAAGCATAAATTGCTCAGATATCGAGGCGCACCACAACAACCAACGACTATAAAGTTCATTGGAAATCGTTTTCCGGATAGTCGCACTAATATCTATTTTTGTTATATATCCGTTAAAAATGTTCTCCATATTTTATTGCTTATTAATGGCTTCAATATTTCATTTCAATAATTCAATTCAATATTAATAATGAAACCTTATTGATTTTATATAGATAAACATGATATTATCGTCAATTTTTTGGTGCTGATATTTCCATATTAAAAGAGACAATTATTCATTTATATAATGCGAAATTTCAGTTCTGCATTAATGTTATTTGCGCATATTAAACGTATTTATTAACAATATATGTATAATAATGAATTGTTAAAATATATCAAATTATTTATTTCTGGTTAAATATTATTTTAATTTTCTGTATAGTTATAATGAATTGTAATAATATGTATTGAATATGTATTGAGTATAAAATTGACACTTAATTTCGTATAATATTTCGTGCTTTCTTTTAAGCTTAAATGTGAAATATCCTTTTTCTATAAAACTGACATGAACTTTTACTTTTTCTCGAGCTTGCTAGAATTTTTTACAGTTCAGAAATATTGTTTACATGCTTCAGTTTTCTCAAATAACTGCTATGTTTTAGAATTTACAGGTTTATTCTCTTTAATAAAGTATTTTATCTAATATCATGGTATTGTGCAGTTGTAAAAATAGAAAGAAAGTATTTGGAATATATGTTTCCTAGAGACAAAGATGATTAGGAAAGCAACACAGAAAACTCACAATAATATAATAATATGAAATAATATTTCATTATCCATTATCCATAATAAGTTTATAAATCAATGATTTATGTAACTAGAAATTTTTCACTTTCATCTATGATCCTATTGATTGGCAGTGCAGCACACAATCGATCCTTTCGCCTCGGTACATTATATTAATTCTACTCTCTAGTGGACCTTTTTCCTTCTGACCCCTTTCTTCCTTTTTTCCTTCCTTTATCCCTATTTCTTTTTTCAGAAATGCATACTGTTATTTAATACCGTTAATTTTTAATTTAAGATCATTTGGACATTTTCGATAGATAAAAAAAAAAAAAAAAAAAAAAAAGAAAAAACTAGAAACTATTGTTATAAATAATGTCTTATCGTGGGGCTGTTTAAGTTACATAATAGTCAGATTCGAATAGGACTATGGGCTGACGAACAGTGCGATCGTTAGAAATTTATATAACTTTGAGCTATTTGATATCTTTAAAAAATATCGTTAGTGAACCAGAATTTCATTTACGGTATACAAAAATTGAAATTAAGATATTCCTTTATTTTTTTTTTTTTTTATATCCGATGCTGTGTTAATATTCTATACATGCGATGAATTCTGTTTTCCAATTGCACTTTCTCTCTTGGTTTTCGGAACTTTTTATATTTTTGCTTGCGTTCGACTTTAATAAGAAATTCAGTCGAAAGTTACTTTGGGGAGTATGATATTGCATTATTTTACATACAGTTATAATTCTAATTTATATAATTTATGGACAATTGTTACTGATTTTCCTATTATTATAAAGCCTATATATTCCGCTTGGCTACTTTTAACTGCAACGAGTACCAGAGACCAGAGAATTAACGCATATTCTCGTTTGATGAGCGTTTGATATAAATTTTGTTCACGCATTGAATGTGAATCTTTATATTTAATAATCCCAGTAGCTGCTAATTACAAATGGCTTATTGTCAAGTTGGTGAAATTTTGGAAAATATGTAACAAAACCTTTTTATTGTATTTAATATAGAGAAATCGTGCCAAATATATTAAAAGGCCTAAATAGTCATCATACATTGTAGAATTATAGAAAAATTCTTTACTTTTACTGCATTATATTATTCTTGAGACAATTGAAAATGCATCGTACTTAAACTTGTGTAAAACTTCGAGTGAGACGAGGCAATAAAAAACAAAAAGGCAGGAGCACGTGCAAGTATAGTTTAATAAACCAATTTAAAAGACGTAGTTGCATTACAAATTTGTAAAATGGTGTTGAATTGCAAATTTCTTATCTCCTGAGTACTTTTCCGACTTGTTAATAAAAATTCTTTCGCAAAATGAAAAAGCAATTAAAGGATAGTAGGCACATAAATATTCCTTTGAGGAAGAGTTATAAAATATCACATTGAGCCACCATATGCTTGAAGTATATAAGTAACTGATTTCTGTTTAATTAAAATTCTAAATATTTTGTAAGCTCATAAACCTTTATTGTATTAACATCAATAAATAAAATAACATTTTTTCTTTTATACGTATAAGTAATTACAATTTATAAATTGCTTTATAACTTTTTTTCTTTTAAATATTATTGTTTATCATTGTTTCTCCAGCTCTATTCACAGTCTAGCTTTTTTTTTTTTTTTTTTTTGTATTTTTTTCGTTTTGTTTTTTTAAAGTATCAAAATTATAATAGAGTAGTTTCATCAATATGGTTTATATGTTTTATCTCTAGATCATTCAACTAAATTAAATCAACTTTAATATTATATTATTAATGCCTCTGTATTACCGGCAGCTGAATACAAAAAGCCAATACATTACATTTACGATTAAACTGAACTTTTCATAAAGTCATATTACTCATATTATACACCTTTTAATAAAGGATTTTTGTTTTTGAAGGGTTCCATAATTTTCTCATCAACTTTTTTGCTTCTTTGTAGTTCAAAATTGACAGTAAGTATTTTATGTTTTCTCCTCATCTACAAAAATCACGTGTACATGTTAAAACATTTTAATTTTCTTTCACAGAGATAAGATCAATTTTCATTTATACTCTTCGTGTAATATGAAGGTGTTTATGTCGTTTGTGATTTTTCATTTTTCTTTTTTTGTTTGTTTGTTTGTTTGTTTTTTTGAGAATTGTGAAAACAAAAAATTTTCCTTTGAAATTACAAGTGCTAGATTTTTAATCTCATTTTGAGAATTATTATCATTTAATTTCTAATCGACTACATCGTATAGAAAATTATTCTATATAAGCCGCATGCATGCTAATTCTGTTTTTTGTTTTTTTTTTTTGGTTTTTTTTTTTTTTTGAAACACTAAGCTTTTGCATTTGTTTTATGCATTATTTGTCAAACATGTTATATTGTATTGACACTTTAAAATACGTATTTATTAAATTCTTAATATTAATTTTCTTGTGCGCTTGTGCCCACACCGCTACCGTAGCAATTTGAAGAACTTAGGCAAAATTAACAACTTCGAGTATAAGCAATTCAGATGTTTAATAAAGCAATTAATTACAATAATGTACTTCACTAGCAATAGATGTGTATGTTGCAAGTAGCCTAAACCTCATTGTCCTGCTTATTCTAGATGAGATTAATATACGTCGTTGTATACATAAACATTGGAATATAGGGTACCGAATGTAAATTCATTGTAAATAGCGCAAGTTAATTTATCGCTTAGTGATTAAACACACAAACACTCGCGCGCGCGCGCGCACACACACACACACACACAAAAGCTATGATTATTAAGTATTAAAACTTGAATTTTAACAATAATAATATCTATATGAAGAATATCTTCTATATTTTTCTTTTTCTGCGTCTTTATATATAATTTTTATTATCACATGTAATATATCTGTTGTACATATTATATTTAAATCATTGTTTAACTTTAACTTTTTAACGCAGAAATATTTATAATCAA